TCCTTTATGTCGATTTCTTGACCCTGGACTTTTAGTTTGGTTATAATACCCTCTTGTTGTCTGTGGGTGAGTACCAGACTCTCTGTTTTGGCAGGGTTTATTTTTTTCTTGTCAGATTCGAAATAGGGGACTAACGCTCTGTTAACATGAATGTCCAGCCTTCTGGTTGCGATTTCAGCTGATTCCTATGTTTTATAAATACAGGTGTCATTGGTGTACAAGTCCGTCAGGTATACCATTAAGTCCCATGAGGAAATCATGAGTCATGATAGTATACAAATGCGGCTCAAATACCGAACCTTGAGATATTCCCGCTTGCGCTGTATATGGTCCTTGTCTCGTGTTATTGATTTTAACGTAGAATTTACAGTTATGTATGTGTAAATTGTTTTTACAATGAAAACAAGGTAGTCATTCACAAACATCTTGTAAATTAACCCATCAGTCCAGACGGTCTCAAACGCCTTCGCAGCATCAAGAGCAACAAGCAACAGCTTGTTTGTTTAGGTTCATAGCCTTCTTGGCATGATGCGCGATACGGAGTACTTGCGCAATCGTACTGTCTTCGGCTTTGAAACCGTACTGTTCCGACGGAATAATCGGATTGTCCTGTTCGTATTTAAGTAATCTCGTGAGCAGGACACGATCTGTGATTTTGGGATGCCACTAAGAAGAGATATGGGGCGATAGCTCTTAATATTAAATCTATTTTTACCATGTTTATGTATCGATACAACATTAGCAACTTTTAATGTGTCCGGATACCGTTGAAGTTTTATGTTTGCGTTAATTACATAATGTAATTGAACAAATGTTTTTTTCGACATATTTTTTAACAATTTATTGTGAATGTTGTCAAGTCCTGAAACCCTTTTACTGTGAGATCTTTTAACTATTTCTGTAATTTCCTTTGGTGTGGTTAACATTTCTGTTTCAACTTTTTGAATGGGTAGATTTTTAATTTCTTGTACAATTTTTAAAATTTCAGTTTGTTTGATATTATTAACTTGGGAGTTTGTGAAGTTACTCTAAAACAGTTCACCGAAAGCTATGCAATTCTGTTCGTCTGTCGAGTATGTGCTGTTATTTTGTTTCAGTGTGGGAAGCTGCGAATACGGTTTTCTAAATCGTCTCACAATTTTCCACACTGAGTTGTCTTACGTTGATCGCTTCCAGTGTTCTGCGCCATTGTAGGTTTCTATATTGTATTATTTCTTTGTTAATAGCTTTCCCTAACTCTTGGAGCATTACTTCGTCTGCGACCTGTCTATGCAGACGAATGTAAAATGACTTAGCCCAATTTGGTTATGTTCCTGGGTGAGGGGCGAGGTGTTGTGCGGGGAAAGGTTTCAAGTAAATAAATTATTCTATAAATGGTATTTTCTGTTTGGAACACAACAAAAGATGTTTGTTTTGAAAGTTTGACGTTTATGGTTTGACGTCTCATTTCAATTTAATGAGCTTTAATAATTTAAAAGATAAAATGTGGTAGGTATTTATTATTTATATATATTATTGTAGATATAAGTATGTTTTCGGTTTTTATCTTATTTTTTTTTTATTTGGCTAGTTTGCTAATATCACAATATTCAAATTTAGTAAAAAATAATGTTATATAACAATTATTATAATCAAATTCTAAATAGGAAATGTAATTTAACTGCAATTATTTTGATAACAGTAGTTGCATATGGTCTGTGAATTTCATCTGTTTCTAAATAATCACCATTAAATATTTGAATTTTTTTATGAACTGTATAGAATGTCTTCCAATTTCCTATATTATTTGTCCACAAACTGCATATAGTTATTACTTATCAGCATATATTTTGTTTTAGGTATTTGTGTTGATTTTTAACAAATGATTGCAACACCATTTAAAAACATTTTGCAGAGTTTCATTGACAATTAACTCTTACTAAGTTATCTGAATCCTTACAACTTACAAGAAACATAGATAAGGACATCATAGGCAAACAGGTAAATGTCATATTGATTATTGCGACATCAACAATCATTAATATAAATTAAAAATAACAGGGCCTAATTTTCTTCTTTTGATGTGGTTAATTTCTTTTAATCAGGACAGCGATTCTTTTGTGCGAACTCGACACATTACATACAGAATAGAGAGAGACATTACATTAAAATCGCTGTCTGTCGAACGAAGATAGAAGTCTCGATAGGAGAAGTACTGAAAGATGAGAATCCCACTGCATATGGTATTTAATATTAACCTCTCTGACCTGTTACTTAGATAATCTACATGCTACTTCAATTTATGCTTTATAGCATAGATATAAAAAACCACCTTTATACCCATACTTTTTAATTTTTTTATCGAATGGTTTTAATCAATAGATTCAAATGCATTTTAAAGAAATACAATTAATTTTTCATTGTACATATGGCGGGTTGTACAATAGGCAGTTAAAATGTATACTTAGTTTAAACTGTGAACCTTGTATACTCATCGGTTAATGTTAAACATAGTTTTAAAAATGACATTTGTTTTTGAATATAACTAGTTAAAAATAAAACTCTTGTTATTTAAAATGAGTTTAGAATATTTTTTGTACAACCTGCCCATAATGTATTTTGTAATAACTTTAAATGTGTATAGGTAACTATTATTTTTATTTTTTCAGTAATAGTTTCCCTGTAACTTCTGAACTCTGTTTTATTATAGTTTTAGTTGTAAACAAGAATCTGATGAGTACCTACATTGTACAGATTTAAATATGCAAAGGGTCCTGTAAATATACCAACAAACTTTTAGGGGTAGTAGAGGGGACATAAAAATAAACTTTTTTTGCTTAATAAACATGTGTTTCAAAAACGAAGCATTTTCGGACATATTATTAGACGATCAGAAAGGTCAAATTAATGTAATATATACAGACTTCCCAAAGGCTTTTACACAGACTTCTCGAAGCCTTTTGATCAAATGGATCATAATATTCTTGTAAGGAAGTTGGAAAGCTTAGGGCTTGATCAGTCGCTAATGAGATTATTTTCTTCTTACCTAAATCATCGTTTTAATTACAACAGATTTTCATCCTCGCCCTTTACAGCAACATCTGGAGTTCCACAGAGCTCCAATCTGGGGCCACCATTATTAGTATATTTAAAAATGACTTGGCAATAAACTTAACATGCAATCACCTGCTGTTCGCTGCTGACTTAAAAATATTTACCTCAATCTTATCAATTCAAGACTGCCACTTTTTATTCGCAATTTTACAGACCCAACTGGGCATCGTAAAAAATTGGTGTAATGAAAACAAGCTGTTTGTGAATGTGTCTAAATGTAAAGTATGTTCCTATACTAGAAGTATTAACAAGATGGAGTTTCATTATTTATTTAACGGCCTACCTTTATAGAAAATTCAAGATTTAGGTATATTATTCGACCAAAAAGTTACTTTTTCGGATTATATTGATAATACCGTTGCTTCTGCACTTCTGCGTTGAAAAGCTTAGGGTTCTTTATTCGTAATACTCGTTCTTTTACAAATTCTCAAAGCTTGGAGATCCTTTACTTTTGTTTAGTTTGTTCCAAGATAGAATATGTATCTTTTATCTGGAACCTTATTTACAATATTCATAAAAAATCATTCGAAAATATTCAGCGGCAATTTCTCAAGTACCTTTCTTTTAAAATAGATGGGCTGTATTCCATTCGAGGTACTGAACAATCTCTGCTTCTTTCGAGATTCAGCATACCATTTTTGGAAAATAGAAGGTAGTTTCCACTATGACATTTCTTTATAAAATATTACATAACACTATTAATGTACCTTGATAAATCAAATACATTTTAATATCCCCAAACAGCTATTAGATATCATAAAACATTTAATATAGCAAGTATTCGAATAAATTTGGGAAGAAATTCGTCTATACCGCTAATGTGCTCAAATTTTAATTAGTTTTGTTCTGATTGGCATATTTATTTCGACCAATAATTGAAGACTTTATGGCAAAAACAATACATGTCAAAAAAATAGTTTTTTCATAAAACACAAAAACGTGAGAAACCTGTTATTTTATAATCCTGTATTTAACCCAGTTTTGGCACTTAATTGTTTTCTATGGATTTCACAGGTTGTTTAGAAAAAAAATTTTTTTCCCAAGATTTCCAAAAAAAAAATGTTGGACATGTGTCGTTTTTGTGGAATTTTTTGGCAGCTTAAGCTCAATGTGGACATTTTTACAGAGTTATAGAACAATATCAGTAAAATCAAACCGCATCAGTCAGTAGCGCACCCAAGGGGGGTTTTTAGGGGTTAAAACCCCCGAAATTTTAAATTTGCAAATTGTAAACAGAACTTTTTGTCCTTAATGTCCTTACTTTTTAAGTCCATAAGATAGGCATAAATACTTTCAGGTGACCCCCCCCCTGAAAAATTTTGGGTTCGCCACTGGCATCAGCCACAAGCATAAAACAACATATGAAATAGGCAAAGGTATAGAATATATTGTTTATTAAAACGCAATCTTTGAAAGTAACATGTCATAAAGATTAAAAAATAACTATTTTTTTCTTCATACATCTTCACAGCCACTGCTGTTGTCGTCTTCATCGATCTCGTCGACATTAGAACGAGTGTCCTGGGTCCTTTCATTTTTTTCAAACACTTCTTCGTAAAAAAGTATATTTTCAGGTTCTTCCAGAAACCCAAGTAAAGTTTTAAGGTTGTCTATTTTTACAGGGGAAATTTTTACAGAATCAGTGTATGCAGGATTTAGGTTTATTCCGTCGGGCAACCGAGATTTATTGCGAATTACACAACTCCTCCAGAAACCATGGTAGGTATCTCGCACACTTATGGTTGGATAATTTTTCTTTACCACCATTTGTCGGATATTCTTTATTTGTATAGGAGGTTTGGCTCTCTTAAAGAAGTACTTTTCAGTAGCAGATTTAATATCAAAAAAGTGTTCTTGATCCATGTTTACTAACTCAAAGGGCGACGGTTTCTCTCTGGCCCTTTTAATCAGAACATCTCACTCATCGGGAACTTCGATTCTTTCTGCACATCGTTTTTTTTTGTCTCTATTAACGCAAAGTCCTGATCATTAGGTAAATATGAGTGTCCTCTAATAGGGTATATATATAAAATTTCATCAAAAAGTTTAAGTACGTGAACCAAAAAATATATAAAATGGAGCATTATGTAATTTTTGTTTTGCCCTGGGCATCCATCGCTTATGAGTACTAAATTTCTGGATGTAAAATTGTGGTTGTTTATATAATGAAGAATCATTGAAGTGATATCATTGCAGCCTTTTTTAGCGGTACCTTCACTATAGGTATAAATCGCAGCCTCATTAGTGGCTACATTGTGAACGCCAAATATATAGTACCATAATTGACGGGCATAAAAAACGGGGTTAGTAGGAATGTGTGGCAATGGGAGATTTTGCATATAATCAAATGTGAGACATTCTATCTCACCTGCCTGCGCCTTAGCCTTGTATTTCCTTCTCAAATCAAAAAAAGCCTCAGCTTTTCTGAGGTGCAGCTCTTTTTGAGTCTCTATATTTTTACGCTCTTCGCCCATTAATTCTTTATTGTTAAGTTTTTGTGCGTAAGAATCACATTCAGCACAGGTGTCAGATCGTGGGTATCCAAATTTGATACTGAATTTGTTCTTAAATGTGTGCCAGTAAATTTTGTAAGGTATGTTTATTTTGTATTCCGAAACAAACATCGAGTGCATATCTTTAATAGATAACTCTCCAGGAAGGTAATATATATTTGGGTTTTTTCGTATAGAATAATGTGATTGCCTTGGTTGAAAAGACATAATATGGGCTTCTGTGAGGAAGATGACTTCGTTGCAAAACTTGTTGGGCCTATTACTATGCAATCCTCTTTTGTCTCTTGGTGACTTACCTACCGTAACTAAACTATTTTGAAGTCTTCTAATTCGCGCGGGGGTTATACTATGTATTTTTACGAAGGCATCTTGACACAGTATAATATGTTTTCCGCCAGACCTTACACTATAACAAAATGAAGCACATTTAGTTTTTCTTTTGTCATCTGGTGTTTCCCTTGGACGTCTTCGGCTTACACGTTTAATTTGAATAAGGCCACTTAAATGCGCATCTTGTTCATTTTTGTCAGTCATCGAGTAGAACTGCTTAAAAACGTTTTCTTTCACGGTTGCAGAGAGATTCTCCAAACATTTTTTTCTACATATAAAAAGAATATTACTGGCATGCTGTCTAAAATACAATTTTATCTTTTGTACTTACCTGCAAGTTATTCCCGGTTTTCTCTTTTCTACTACTCGCCCTTTATGGTTAACATGTTCTTCCCCTTTTACTTTGGACACCCGGATCTTATACTATTTTCTAACTTTCTTTTTTTTTTTTTTTTGTTTATTTTTTATTTTGGTGTCATCGGCGTCGACTACTACGGCCATTAGCCTCGTGTTCTTTGTAGGCTTTGTTACTGTTTCCCAGCGCCACTTTAGGAACAGCACTGTTAATTAGAACCCAACAGTGAATGGTCGAGTGGGGAGTCCTAACAAGGCATCAGAATTAATTTTAAATAATTAAATTAAATGAAAAAATCCCGGCCAACGGTGGGATTCGAACCTGAGACCTTCCGATCTCAAAGTCATGACTCTAACCACTGAGCCAACCCACCCCCTTCTAACTTTCTTTTCTTTTTTTCTGGGCCATTGTACTTCAGTACTTTGAGTTTCTTTAATATTTTCCATATTTTTACTGATATATACTCACAAGATTTTTCACTGAGCAAGATGTACCCTTTATCAGTGAAGGTTAGGTTCGAATAAACAGCCGGTCACAAAAATATTAACACCACTCATTCAAAATTCTAACAAAAACAGCACAAGTCAAGGACATGTGTTGTTTTATACTGAAACCGAGGTGGACTTGTGCTGTTTTTGCAGAAGGCTGTAATATTTGACATCAAATAAAATAGTACATGTGTTAGTTATGCCCACATACTTTGATTTTCTTTTACTATACGGAGAATGAGTGCCTTTTAAAAGGAGTTAGAAAACTCCGCCATTTTGAACCCTTATTACGTGTTGCCTACATCTTGGCGCAATATTTTTAATAGGTGCGTTTTAATCATCCGCTTCTGCTTCGGAATTGTCAGTTTTCTTGTTTTAATCTGACAGGTTAAAACGACTAAACCGACAATTCCGGAAGCAGAAGCAGATGATTAAAATGCACCTGATATTTTGCTTGCTGCTGTCAGTGTCAGTGAATATTATTTTTGAAGTCACAGTTATTGCTAAAGAATCAGTTAGCTCACTCGGACTAGTTGAAAATTCCAAAATAACATCCACTCCAGGGATACAAATTCAGGATACGCAGAAGACTGCTGTTTTATTATAGGCGGTTGTCATATATTGTATTATCCGAGTTGCACAGTGTATAAACTGAAACATTGAGATCCAAAGTGCCGACGCAGAGTGAGCGATCTGATTCTTTAGCTGTAAACTGTGTCACAGGGTTCAAAATGGCCGCGCCCTATGTTGGGCGTGTCGGACCCGTTGATCTGGCAACCTAGGGATACGACATAGGAGCAGCTAAAATCTGAAACGCGAGCATTTTAGACATTTGACATGTGACATATCAAATGGCGCGAATTTCATATACATTAATTATTAAAATTTTAAACAACTAAAGTAAATATAGTGTCTAGAGGATAATCTTATTATTTATTTTCTTCAGAGCTTCAGAAGTTTACTCCACGGGTTTGAATTATAGGAGAGTATCATTATTATTTGTTATATTTATTATTATTATTATTAATATTATTATTATTATGTTTTGGTATCACTATCTCTAGGATAGGTGGGACAAATGCAAGATCGGCCATGGCAAGATTCTAGCATTTTAATTATATAGAAACGTTTAGGAATGTGCGTACAATAGAGGTAGTGGATAGTATCACTGCCTTTTGGATAATCGCTAATTTATTGGCAATTTCCAGCATCCTCAGATTGTTAGTGAGTGACTTTGGTACTACACCGGTGGAAGATATAATCAACGGGACTACAGACACACTCTCCTGGCGCCACATTTGTTGAATTTCCTGCCCAAGTCTCTGGTACTTTGCTTCCTTCTCAGCGTAGTAAGTCAAGATGTTGTGACCATTTGGGATTCCTATGTCAATTAACAAAACTCGTTTTCTTGATTTATCAACGATGATGATGTCTGGCCTATTGTGGACTATAGTACGGTCTGTTAGTACCGACCTATCCCAGTACAACTTATGCGTAGAGTTTTCCAAGACAGGACTAGGCTCGTACTTGTAATATGGTATCTCTTCGCTCAGGAGGCCATGTAAACAAGCCAAACTTTGATGGACAATCTTAGCTACCTGATTGTGTCTCGAGAGGTATTCCCTTGGCACTAGTATTGGGCAAGCGCTTGTTATGTGTTGGATGGTCTCGGATTGTTGATGACATTTTCTGCACAAGTCATTTTCCACTTGAGCCCTTATTATGTACTTAAGGTAGTTTTTGGTGGCAATAACTTGGTCTTGGATCGCTATCATGAATCCCTCTGTCTCTGCAAATATGTCGGCTCGTCCTAACCATCCATTCGAGGCCTTAGAGTCGACATAGGGTATTATTATTATTATTATTATTATTATTATTATTATTATTATTATTATTATTATTATTATTATTATTATTATTATTATTATTATTATTATTATTATTATTATTATTATTATTATTATTATTATTATTATTATTATTATTATTATTATTATTATTATTATTATTATTATTATTATTATTATTATTATTATTATTATTATTATTATTATTATTATTATTATTATTATTATTATTATTATTATTATTATTATTATTATTATTATTATTATTATTATTATTATTATTATTATTATTATTATTATTATTATTATTATTATTATTATTATTATTATTATTATTATTATTATTATTTGATAGAATTATCTCAGGTTAACCTGGGTTATATTTGCAGTATTCTGGGGTGCTGGTGCACCAACAGTATATGCTTGGATTCGGCTAATTTGTCTGTGAGCCAAGAAATCTTCGGACAATATGACACGTGTCAAGCACCACAGATTTATTTATTTGTGTTAAGCTGTGTTTTACATTCAGTTGTTCTAGATGTTTTGTAAGTGTAAGTGGCACAATTCCAGTTGCAGATATTACTAGTGGGTGTATTTTAACTGTATTCACCCTCCACATTTGTTTAATTTCCGTAGCGAATTCGAGATATTTATTAATTTTTGTAGCATATTTGGTTTGGATATTATGGCTAAGGGGTACTGCTACATCTATTACTGCTACTTCCTGCTTTAATTTATCAAAGACTACAATGTCTGGTCTATTAGCGTTGATGCGGATATCAGTGCGTATTTCTCTGTCCCAGTATAGTTTGTATTGTAAATTCTCTAATATAGGAGCCGGGTCGTATTTGTAGTAGGGTTTGTCTTCATTAATCAGTCTAAAGTTCTTCGCTAACTGTTGATGTATAATTCTGGCTACATTGTTATGTCTCTGGGTGTAGTCCATTGGTGCTAGCGTTTGACATCCGCCTATAATGTGTTCAATGGTTTCGTTTGGTGATCCACACCTTCTACATTTGTCAACGATATTTTTATTTTTCAATATGTATTTTTGGTAGTTTCTTGTATTCATTACTCGGTCTTGTATGGCGCCTATGAATCCGACAGTCTCAGCAAATAGAGTTCCCCTTAGATATAGGTTTGATGCTTCAGTATCAGTATTTTCGTGGAGCAGGTGATGTGCGTGGCTCCCGTGCAGTTCTTTTTGTTTCCATCTTTGTATTTGGGACTGGGTCGAAAATCTATTATCTTCAGGGTCATATTCAATATCGCTAAGTTTTAAAGGTGTACTTTTTGTATCTGCTTGACATACTGCTCTAAACAAGGCATGATTAGTGGATTTTTCATGAAAATATTGCCTGAGAGCCTTTATTTGCGATTGGTGAAGACGGTGGATATCTAGTATGCCTACACCTCCCACATCTATCGGTAATGATATTCTTTCTATAGCTGAATTGGGATGGTGCATTCGATATTTTGTTAATATTACACGAGTAGTTCGACATATGGATTCCAGGTCAGTAGCAGACCATTTTATAATACCAAAGGAATATGTGAGTGTCGGTATGGCATATGTATTTATAGCCTTTATTTTGTTTGCACTGGTGAGGTTTGTTTTGCATATTGCTTGTATTCTTTTTTTAAAGTCATCTATTAACTTTACTTTAATTTCACTGTAGTTGATTCCTCTGAGTTGCAAGTATTTATAATTGTCTCCTGGGCTAAGGCTTTCTATGACTTTATCGTTGTCCATAATAAAATGATTAGAATTATTTAAGGTCCCTTTTTCAAGATCAATTATCTTGCATTTATCTAGTCCAAATTCCATATGAATAGAGTCACTGAAGGTTTTAGTAATTTTTAATAGAGTATTAAGTTTTGTCCTAGAGTTCGCATATATTTTTAGATCGTCCATATATAAAAGGTGGGATATTTTGCAGTTATTGCCCTGTTCGTTCTTAATAATAAAGCCATATTGCGTGTTGTTTAATGTTCGACTTAGTGGATTCAAGCACATACAAAACCATAGAGCACTTAGTGCATCTCCCTGAAATATTCCCCGTCTGATTTTGATCGGTCCTGATTTTTGAGTTGTCTTGTCTCCTGATAAATGCAACTCCGTTGACCAGTTGGTCATTATATGTTCTAAAAAGTTTGTTATGGCTGGGTTAATTTTATAGATCTTTAATATTTCAATCAAGTAAGAATGCGGCACTGAGTCGAAGGCCTTTTTATAGTCTATATATGCCATGCTCATATTTCTTTGGTTTTTAATAGCTTGATCTACTGCTATTATTATTATTATTATTATTATTATTATTATTATTATTATTATTATTATTATTATTATTATTATTATTATTATTATTATTATTATTATTATTATTATTATTATTATTATTATTATTATTATTATTATTATTATTATTATTATTATTATTATTATTATTATTATTATTATTATTATTATTATTATTATTATTATTATTATTATTATTATTATTATTATTATTA